AGAAAAGAAGGAGAAACATGGCACTGGAGAGAATGCCATGTTTCTCCCCCTCCTTCTTATCTGAGTCCGGGGAAGGTGTCCCACCTTCCCAAGGCTAAGAGGAGAAGGAGAAACAGCATCGTGTCTCTGCCTCAGCCCTCCTTTCAGCCTGGGGACACAGCAGACTGTAACTCAGAGGACACAGCAGGCTGCATGCTCAGAGGAGAGCTGGGGAAGATGGGGGTCAGAGAGATGAGGCCAAAGAGCAGCATCCAGCCTGCAGGACTGGGTTTGCCTATATCTGTCTTAGACCATCTACTTTCAATTTCAGAAGCACAATGTGTTCTGAAAATTGGCCTCATCTCGATAGCTCTCAGATGGTACCTTCACTGTGCTGGCACAGCTGTAAGAAGCATTGACTTCATGGCACAAATCTGAGTCAAAATTTTCATGAGGTTTATCTTGCATAGTGCTGACACTCTGGGGATTAAAATAAGATCTTTAGTTTTGATTTTTGTTTTTTTTTTTGTTTTTTTTTGTAGGTTTTTTGTTTTTTAAAAAAAGCATAACTACCCTTGGGGGGGGGGGGTTACTGCAAAACTAGGATTCCCATGACATGAGAATCCTATTAAGATCCATTCAATCCCTGCCAGCTCCCAGAGGAGATTCTCTTTAAAGGAGAACAGAAGCAGTGGTTTGTGGGCCTGATGGGATGTCTTGAGAGGTGTGCTATCTCCTTGGGGTAAAAATCCTTGCTGTAACAGAAAAGCTGAAAGTCCACTCACCATTATCCTTTCCTTTTACTCCACATGGGAGCAATGACAATGCAAGGCAAAGCCTTCAAGTTATCACAAGGGATTACAGGGCTTTAAAAGACCATGATGGACAGGTTGTCATTTAGTTTTTCTTCCCAGTTGAAGGGCACAGCTCATGAAGGGAAAGAAGAATGGTGAAGATGAACAACTAGTTCCACAGATAGAACCACAGAAAAGATTTGGCTTCTTGGACCATAGTCTGTGGTTTCATAAAGATGACTTTCTGGAAAGTGATGAGTTGCACCTCACAACACTTGACAGGAAGGTTTTTGCTAAAAGGTTCAAAACCTGATCAATAATGTTTTATGAATTATGAGGGAGAGAGAGGCTGTACAACAGTCCTGCTTATTATATAAGTTCACTGAATACAGTTTCATTTATATGAAGTGTTTTGAACACCACTGGATCATTTTGGAAAACTTAGAAAATGCCCAGAGAAGTGTTCTCTCTAGACCTCCAGCATGACTCTATAGTCAAATTCTGCCAGATATTCCACTAGTTGGGGTTGAAGGCAGTTGTGATCAGGAACATCTGGACAACCCAAGGTTCCCCATACCTGCTTTAAATACAAAAGATTGCAACAAGGAACAATTAACAGCATGGGAAGAAATGTTTCTCTGATTGGTTTTTTTTTCTTATGTCAACCTGCTTAAATCTAGTCATCTCAAAATAATATCTTCTTTTGATTTACAGCACTAGTTGTACCAGAAGTAAAGGATTGTTTATCTATCATCTTGTAACAGAAACATGTCATGGAGTCTCTTGGGGGGAAATGCACTACCAAATCTTAGAGTCCTATATGGGTTCCAATTATTAATTTATTCAAGTATCTACTGCACAGCAAGTAACTTGGGTGTAATTGTATGACTGAGCCAGTATGGTGGTTCACATTCAGTTTGAGCATTGAATTGTGACTCTGGGGGAATCTTGCTTTGGCCATGGAATATCACCAGGTAACTTCTTGAGAAAGTCACATTTTCTCATCCTCAGAGGAATAAAAATGCAAACTACATTTGAACAAATCTTTCTAAGAAACCCCTTTGATACCTTTATCTCAGAGTCACCATAAGTCAGACAACTTGAAAATTCACAGCAACAATCATATGATCACACAAGTATCTTCTTCCATGTTCTTATTCAATGCAGACATATATGTTCATGTATGGCAATAACTAGAGCTTCGGAAGTTACTTTTAAAAAGTAAGCTATGCACTTTATATTTTTATAGTGGTGGAAAAGTCATTCAGTGACCTACTTGTTTGAAAGATGAAAAAGTTCATTGAATTAGCTTAGGGAAGGGAAGCATGTGATCTTCCAGGTCTTGTAGGACTGCAACTTCTAGCAGCCCTACCCAATGCTAAAGTATACACTAGAACTTGCAGTTCTACAACAACATCTGGAGGGTCATATTGTTTCTGGATTAGTTTGTTTATATGACAGAAACAGAGAAGGCTGGATGAAACTCAACTTTGAAATCAGCTGGATTCATTTGTTAATCTGATAAAAGCGGAAGAGATTGGATGCAACACAATCTCTTTGTTGGATCTGTTTATTAATATGACAAAACCAGAAGGGGATGCAACCAGTCTCTGCTTAAAGACATCCAGAGGTAGCATCATATTCCATTGCCAAATATATATCTTCCACATTGCTATCTCTACCCCTCCAATACTTTTCTTAATAAATGAGGCTAACCTTTATTACTGGAAATTCATACTCAGCTTGCCAATATTTTTCATTAGCCCTTTGCCTTTAACAACAAAAATGGATATTTTATAATGTAATGTTTTAATTAATGCTTAACTTGTGTTATATTGTTATGGTATGTGTGTTGGCATCAAATTGTTGTTACTTGTAAGCCACCCTAAGTCCCCCCTCAAGGGTTTGGAAGGACGGTGTACAAATGTTTGAAATAATAAATAAATAAATAAATAAACAAACAAACAAACACAATTTTGAAATCAGCCATTGAAGATTCCTGAACATTGTATGTATATTTATTTATATCCCATCTTTTTGTCTGTTAATGACTTGGTACAACTTTTTACATGCAACTTTTTACATACCTACAAAATAATATTAATCTCATCATTGATTCAACTAGCAAAAATATAAAATAAATTAAAACAACAACAACAGCATCCAGCACATTATGTAAGGCCTGAAAAATCAATTCTCAAAAGTCTGCTGGAAAAAAGTTTTTTTTTCTTGCTTACAGAAAGATATTCCTTTTTTTTTCAAATGTATATATCCCACCTTTCTCCTTACATAAGTTTCATATGTCTTGAATATGTGTAACATATACTTTTCTAGTAGCAAATTCAGATAGTTCTTTCACAGCTTGTGTTTTTTAAAGGAGGCATGTGTTTTTGATACAGAGAAAACCACGTGCATGAATAAACTCTCTTTACAGAATGGATATGACATGAAAAAGAATAATAGAGGCAATTATGCACTGAAGGGGAAAACAGAAAGAGACACTGTTATAAACTAGACTGTCCCGTAACCTCTTCACTTGAGCTTTTGGGCGCTCATTTTCTCCTTTTTAACATCACCCCATGGGAATCGGCAAGGAGAGTATGTCACTAACAGAATTAGGAGAATGGTTTGACTGATGCATTTGGAAATGCAGAGTTTCCCTTCCCGACTGAGTAGAGGACATTTTCACTTGGTTGCGAATTTAATAAGATGCTGGAAAATGACAGACAGCATAAACCATGAGCTAACTATAGACTCAAGGGAGTTATAGAAAAGAAAGAATCTTTTTTTAACTCAGCTACCAGATATTATCCCAATGCAACACTATGGATTTGTGCAGATTGCCCTTCCAAAAAAAAGAAGAAGATATGCACGCAAAGAAAATACTATTGAACAAATTAGGAAAGCTGCTTCTCATTCAAATTTCTCCAAGAGCTATTCTGGAAAAAAATGTGCTGTTGCCCCCCGCCACCCCCGAAATCCAATTCATGAAGCACATGACGCCTATATCATTCTGTTCTGCTGAAGGCTATTTCTGTTTTTATATCTGGGATTTCTTCAAACCAGCTAGATGAACTTTTCATTGTTTGCTTTTTCTTTTTGCATTTCTATGCAGCATGTATTTGGGTGCACAATAACAGTGCTTTACTCTGTAATATTTCAGTGGGACTGGGTTCATCCTTCAAAACCAATTTCACAAAAGGATGAGGGGAATACTGCTGGGTAGGTTGTGGGTGGGATTCTGGGAGTGAGGGGGTTGAGAGTATTTATTATTATTATTATTATTATTATTATTATTATTATTATTATTATTATTATTACCTGCCACCATCTGCTCAAATGGATTCGGAGCAGGTAACAAAGCACTCTAAAGTACCGAACATAAAATAAAAGCAATTGCATAGGCATCAAAAAAATAAAAACATGAGCAAACATCCATAAAATATCACATAATAAAATTAAAAGTCCAAATTCATAAAACACAGTCATAGCTATTGTATTCAATTAACAAACCCAGTGTCAGAGTGTAACTGCCAAGTCCTCAGACTAACCCTTAAAATCTACTTAAGAGGAAAGGCTTGTTTAAAAAGCCATGTTTTTAGACTGGATCAGAAAGTTTAAAGAGAGGTTGCTAACTTACTCTCTCTAGAGAGAGCATTCCAGAGCCAGGAGGCCACCACCGAGAAGGCCCTCTCTCACATGCCCACCAACCATACTTAGGAAGGTGGTGGGACTAAGAGAAGGGCCACGCCGGCAGATCTTAGAGCCAGTTATTAATTTATTTATTTATTTATTTATTTATTTATTTACCATACTTATATACCACTGTTCTCAGCCCGAAGGCGACTCACAGCGGTTCACAACAAATATGAACAGCAAAAATTCAGTGCTACAGTATAAAAACAGTTAACAACCTAACACATTACACAATTAATAAACAGTTACTACAATACCCATTCACTGTCATCTCATCATCAAAAGCCTATGAACCCATGTTGGTTCATAGAAGAGTTTTTAATTCTTGTATTTGCCATTTTTAATTTTTTGGGTTGTGTCATGTAATTGTGAGCCACCTTGAGTCCCCATGAGGAGAAAAGCAGTGTAGATCGTACAACGAATCAATACTAATCAGCAAACCTTGGATGAAATTTCAAATGTTTATCCTTCTTCAGTACATTACAATCTTTATTGATGATGGTAATGATAGCAAAACAGACAGAAACTCACCAATAAAATCGGTTGGGTGTAATCCGCTCATGCATGATCTGCCACCTTCTCCCAAAATCCATTGAACTGTAGAGCTAAAAGAAAGAGTGGCAAATAAGTGTCATATTAGACATACTAGCTCCCTAAAATCTGTCACTGAATCAGATGCTCTTGCAAAAGTAAATCAGATATTGTCTGAACATTTGAATTTTTGGTCTTATAAAATACATAGAATATTTCAAAATATAATATTTCTTTGGAAAGCATTCATTTTTACATGTAGCAGATTCTCATAAAGAATGAAGCCAACATTCACAACAAATATCTAGTAATTTATTATTGATGCTCAGTATCATTAAATGACATTCTGTTGGTGCTCAGAATTGCATATTCCAATACTAGGCTGGTCACAGACTGATATTTAACAAAGGATCTTCCATTTTTACAGGCCAAGGAGAGGTGATAGGAACAACCATCTGAAGAAGTTTTAAGGTAAGGTTAACCATAAAAGGAAGTTTCAGTGGCTGCTTTATCTCTGGATAGAAGTACCTCTTTTGATTTCTGGATGTCTTTGTTCTTCAAGTGCCTCCCACATGGAACTGGACTTTATGAAATCCTTTATTTTGTGTTCAAGTAAGAAGTTGTGTCTGTTGTTTTAAATCATAGTAGTACCAGCAACTTCAGAGAAAATGCTTGAAGAATTTAATCTGTGTGTACACATGTACTTGTGTTTATCATTTCCTGCTTATTTACATACACTTGGACTGAACGAGCATAATGCATTTAAGCAGAACCATCCTACACAACAATTATACCAGCACTGGAGAGATTCCAGCATAGTGCTGGCAAAATACACACAGCCGGTGAGGGAAGGGACAATCATGGAAGTAGTAATGAAAGTAAAATGATGGGGAAGATCTCAGCATCCCACTTCATGATCTTTGTTTAACTCTGATTATATCAACCCCTTGGCACCAAGAAAAGTAATACAACTTTATGATTAAACTAGAGGTGTTCACCCATTATTACTGGAATAATTCGTGAGTGGTAGAAAGAAAAAGTCACACAAATGGCAGGAAGGAGTAATATACATAACACACTGCCCATACAGCTGTCTTGTTCAGAATCAAAATAGGGAAGATTTTTGTTGTTGTTGTTGTTGTTGTTGTTGTTGTTCAAATAGTTGGTGAGGGAACAAAGGGACCCACAAACTCATGCACTTCAAAAGCCATCCCAAAGCTAAATGGATCCAAGTCCTACTTAGGTATAGGAAAGGAACATCATCTTTCACTCTCTACTTTTAAAAAAAGAAGCAACACACATCATAACAAAAGTCTTTATTGGACAGTATGCAGGATGGAGAAGATATTGAAAAGTCTATTTGGTTCACTCAAAATGAGCTTTTGTATTTCAGCAGACAGCAGTGCAGTAGATGTAAGGGACCCTTATGGCATCAGCTCAGTGGTAGAAACACATGTGGATATCTGTCTACTATGGAACCTGCCAATGATGCTACACGACCCTGCATATTGTCAAAACTACCCAAAACTACCCATCAGGAGTATCTTAGTAACTACATTTGTTAATCAGAGGGCCTCCCTTCTGGTTTGTAAGGAGTAGAAATGGGAAGAATATTCTCCTTGTGGGAAGGTGATCTGCAAAAGGAATGGAGAGAATAAAGAGCAATAATAAGTAGATGGCCACTATTTAGTTGAGAGAAGAAATAATTAGTAGTGACACCTAACTGTCCCATCAGGACACTACTCCAGTCTTCCATGCATTTATTGAGCCAGGAGACAGCTGTCACTGTATGCATTCCTTCTTCTTTCTAGTGAAGCACTCTGTATGCAGTGGTTGTTTGTTCTTCTCCATTCAGCTGGCCTAAGGTCCTACAAGAAAGGAGTGTTCATTAGCGCTCACCCTGTCAAGGACTTTGACAACATAAAACGTAAGTGCATGCAGGGATAAGTGCTTTCCATGTCTGTGGAAGATACTGCTCCCCACTGTTACTGCGAGATGAGAAAAGACAATGTAGTTCAACTAAGACACCCTATTCATATGAAACAAACAATGGGTGGGAGGCACAGCAAATCGTTATTACTGCACATTGTCTCCTTTCCTTGCTTACCTGTTTGTGACTTTTCCCTTAACATCTGCAGTTATTTGGATGGAGTTGGATGGTGCATGGTTGTAGTTGGACGCTCAGTCGAAGTACCTGTTAGGGTTCTAAGCAGAAAACTGTTATAAATGTTCTTGTGAAAGCATAATGTTAGGTTGATCAATTTTTCATGTGTCCAAAGAGTCTTTCCCCCATGTTGTTGTTGTTGTTGTTATATCCCGCTTTTATACAGGAGACTCAAAGTGGCTTAACATAAAACATCAGCATACAGTTTAAAATATATAAATATACAAATATTAAAGCATTAAACATTATTGGTTTTAAAACACATGAAATTAAATCCATAAAAATATGGATTAGCCCCTCACATGATCTTAAAAACTTTCTTCTTTAAAAACCCTGCCTGAAAAAAGGTCTTTGCTGCCAGAAGGACAGCAGGGAGGGGGGCATTCTGGCTTCCCTGGGCAAGGAGTTCCAGAGTTGAGGGGCCATCACCAAGAATGCCCGCTCTCTCGTTACCACCAAACAAGCTTGAGATGGAGGTGAGACTGAGAAAAGGACTTCTCCTGAAGATCTCAGGGTCTGGGAAGGTTTGTACAAGAGAATGTGGTCAGCCAAACAGCCTGGACCTGAACTGTCAAAGACTTTAAAGGTAACCAGCACTTTGAATTGTGCCCAGAAACAGACTGGCAGCCAGTGGAACTGCTGCAACAGAGGAGTTGTCCGCTCCCTGTAGCCATCCCCAGTTATCAACCTGGATGCAGCTCTTTGAACCAACAGAGGCAGCCCCACATACAATAATCCAGATGGGATGTAGCTAAGGCATATACTACTGAAACCAGATCTGGCTTCGCAAGGAAGGGGCACAGTTGGTGCACAACTTTTAATTGTGCAAAGACCCTCTGGGCCACAGCTGACACCTGGGCCACTAAGTCCAGGAGGATCCCAAAGTGTGGACCTGTGTCTTCACGGGGAGTGTGACCCCATCCTGCACAGGCTGAATCCCTATTTCCTGATCTGCCTTTCCAGGAGTACCTCTATCTTACTTGGATTAAACTTCAATTTGTTTGCCTTCATGCAGTCCATTACAGATGACAGGCACTAGTTTAGGATCAGGACAGCTTCCTTGGCATTAGGTGGAAAGGGCTAGTAGAGTTGGGTGTCATCCCCATATAGGTGGCACCATACTCCAAAACCTCTCCCAGCAATTTCATGTATATGTTAAAAAGCATGGGGGATCAAAGTGACCAAAGCTGTCTCTGTTCCATAGCCAGGCCTGAAACCAGATTGGAATGCATCTAGATAATCCATTTCATCCAGAAGTTCCTGGAGTTGTGAGGCCACCACACAATCCAAAACTTTGTGCAGGAAAGCAAGGCTGGACACTGGCCAATATTTGTCCGATAAATATAGGCCTCACAACTGCCTCCTCTAGACAAGCTGGAAAAGCTGAAATTTTGCCTTGTTCCGAGGAGGCATGACTACCCCTTTACCCACTCTGCCAGTCGCCCTCTAGCCTGTTTGATCAGCCAAGAAGGGCAAGGATCTAGGATACATGTGGCAGCTCTCATCTCTCCAAGCATCCTGTCCATGTCCTCAGGCTGCACAAATTGAAAGGTATCCATCTACACTGGACAAGCAGAAGGTAAAGTTACATCCATTGGAACTGTATCCATAACAGCATCCAAGTCCAAATGAATCTGGGTGACTTTATCTGCAAAGTGCCTTGAAATTCTTTACAGCAGGCTGCTGAATGGTTGGGGGTTTCTCCTTGAACCAGTATATAATAGCCCTCTCACCACTCAAAACAACTCATCTGGATAGTTCCTTGCAGATGCAGTGGTAGTAGCAAGGAACAATTTCTCTTTTTCCCATTCCCACAATTTCTTGTCAATTTTTAAATGTGAGTAAGTAGGACCAGAGAGTTATAGCTCACATGAAATATAAGTTCTCATCCAAATTGCTGTTTTCCTCGTATACGATCATAGATTAAGGCTATGAGTTCTGAGATTTACTGATATGGAATGATTATCTATGCAAGGACCACCTCTCTCTCTCTCTCTCTCTCTCACACACACACAAGTTAATGGGAAGCAGATTCTTGGTGACAGGTGTGGGTTTGATGCACCACTGGCAGGGATATGGCCACTGAGTGAAGGATTCTAGCTTAAATGTGCTTGTTCTTCTACAATTTAAGCATGTCTTTGCCAATGGAGCAGCTCTGCTAGTCAAGCATTCCACTACTGTATCTGGGACATTCTACCACTGTGTGATTGGTGGGAGTGATGCATTTAATGTTCTACAGGAACAGGAAACATCTGCTGAATCCTTAAGTCCTTTAGAGAAATCATCTATACTGGATTGTGCTCATTACATGCTTGAATTTCCATTGAGATTGAAGGAACTCTCGATATTTCTCAAGCCTTGTATCAAAGAACCAACTTTTCACAGATCTGATGTTTTACACATTTCATTGGAATAGTTTTTAAGGATGTGTGGGAAGAATTAAAGGAAATCTCTGGTGAGTGTTGTTTTCCCACTTGAACAGCCTAATTTTTGAGACACATTTTGCTTAAAATATTAAGGTGAACAGAGGATTCATACCAGATTACTTCTAGGAAAATATATGTGATTCCATCATTCATAAATTCTAGATTATATTGCTGAAAGTTAAAAAAATGAACTAGTTTTTGCAAAATTGAAGAAGGGGGGAATATTAGACCACAGATATGATTTTGTTACTTAAACCAAACTTAAATCTATATAAAAATAAAACAAAATGTGATGGTCTTATCTGTAACAAATATGCTGAATAAGGATGGCTTGAATTCTAAAATAAGGTAATTAAAACATTATATATTTAGTTAGTCCAAAGATCAACAGCTGGACTGCTAACTGGGGCTCGCTACGGGGAGCGTACAAATCCTCTGTTGCAAGAGCTCCGCTGGCTGCCAAAATATTTCCGCACACAATTCA